GAGGGGCCAATAAATAATTTTGAATTGTCAAAAAGAAACATTTGCTTTAAAAATAGTTCAATTTCTTAATGACAAATGGGTCGCTAATGCATCAAATTAACAGAATGGTAGAAAAAGGAAATATCAATGATTTTTACAGATATCTCTTTTCGCTCTCCACTTCTCCCATCCATATTTCCAAAAAAATTTTTCTTATTTTCCATAGGATTATTCAAATAAAAATCTGTATATATTTACCATGTGTATATAATCTTTCTCCATTTTTACCCCTTTGTATATTTCCTACTTTCATAGGTTTCTCCGTCTTGTAACCCCAAGGAGAATCCTCTGTAAGACCTGTGTGTCTTAATAAAAGTTTTTGTGTGTGTGTGTGATTTTTACAGATATATTTTCAACTATACAGTTAAACCTGTCTATAGTGCCTCCTCTTGGGACTCACCAAAATAGGGTGCTATAGACAGGTCACTTTTAATGTAAATCGCATCGTACTACGTATTTAAAATTGGGCGCTATAGAGAGGAAGGCGCTATTTAGAGGGGGCACTATAGACAGGTTTAACTGTATTTATATATTTTATTAAAATAAGTTTTTCTACTTCTAATGCTCAGTTGTTTAACTATAGACTAATTCTGAAAGAATAATATTTTAGGGTGTTCTTACAAAATTATTTCCTTCTTATCTGCTATCCTGTTTACACACACTTGATAACAGTACTAACTACGTATTTAAGAACATTCTGTGACATTTTTCTCACTCAGTACTTTTGTCTGATGATGGTTACAACACTATAACTGATAAAGCACACAATTTGGTAAATTATTTTCTTGTTGTAATGCTGTAACTGAAATATCATATACAGTAGAACTACCTCCCTGTAATGGACAACACCTAGCTGCAGAGCTAAAGTGTCCTTTAAAGAGAGGTGTTCTCTTACCAGAGAATTGCTAAATAGTAAAAATGGTAATTTTGCAAATGAAAACTGTCCTTTGTAGAGAGGTGTCCTCTAGCGGGGTGTCTGCTGAAGAGGGGCTCTACAGTATTATTTATTTATTTGAATTTGGTTTTGTTTCACCTTGTGTTTACCAATCATTCAAGTTTGTTCAATAAATAATGTACAATAGGTCATAATTTTTTTTTTATTGAGACAAACTAGAAAACTCTGTGTATATAAGAATTCTTATATACTGGCTTCCACCAGATCCAAGATGACGTGGGTCAAGGAAGTACTACTGGCTCAGAAGCAATTGAAATCCCATCCTCGTTGCCAGATTTGTTGTATCGCCAGGTAGAGGGTAGCCAGGATGAGGTATTGCCACGAACGAAGGAGTCAGCTGATGAAGAGACAGGCAGGGGAGAACAGATAGTCTGATAACAGCAGCCCAGCTGGGAGTTGTGTGGGAAGAAGCCGCTATAGCTGTTGGCCTGTAGAGGGGTTTGTGTGCCAAGATGGATTCTTGTTTTGGGAGTGTATGACATCGCTATTGTGGGAAGAAGCGGCAAGTTGTCTCCTGAAATGTGGATGATCCTGCAAGATTGTGCCAGGAGAACCCTGAATCCGAGCGTAGTCCAGGCTGGATGTGTACATTGTGGAGCGGGACATTTCACATGAGTGACATCCACAGTGCCAAGATTCCTTCTGACGGGGAAGTTGAAGACCAGTCCAACTTATTGTACTCCTGTTCAGTGCGAAATATAATAGAGTGCTAAACACAAGGTAATAAGACTAAATCCAAATAAATAAATAATGTGTGACGTTTCTGTAACAGCGTTGTTACCATCTTCAGACAAAAGTACTGAATGAGAAATTTTACCACAGCATGTTTTAAATAGCTACTGTTATCAAGTGTGTAAACAAGATAACAGATAGGAAGAAGATAGTTATCTGAGAAACACAGAATATTATTTTAATTATATTTGAAAAAAAAATTGGGTTTTTTCCACTTTTAATTCTAAGAATAATATTCTGTGTTTCTCAGAAAACTATCTTCTTATCTGTTATCTTGTTTACACACTTGATAACAGTAACTATTTAAAACATGCTGTGGTAAAATTTCTCATTCAGTACTTTTGTCTGAAGATGGTAACAATGCTGTTACCGAAACATCACACACTATTTATTTATTTGGATTTGGTCTTATTACCTTGTGTTTATAATCTATAATCAAAATTGTGCCTTATCAATAGAGTACTAACTTTTGCTGCATCCCTTACAAACTTGCATGTGTATCTTTGTGCCATCCTGATCAGACAAAGAACAGCGTCTGGGTACAACGTAACTATATTAGAATCATTCAATATATCCACCTTCCTTCTGTACACATTTGACCAAGCGCTGTTCCAACTTGCAAATGTACTTTGGTAAAACACCTTATTCAACTCTCTGAACCACACTCTAACAGCTTCGAGTAAAATTTCATCACTTTCAAATGTTCTACCGCGCAAAAAATTTTTAATCTTCCAACAAGGAGAAGTCTGAGGTCAGGGCTGTACCCAAGGTGAGGCATCAAGTCCACCCACACCTTGCAATCTTCACCAAAGTCTGGTGTAAGGTCTCGCATTATCTTGATGAAATTTGATTTGGGTGTTTTTCATGTTGGGTCTTTTTGTTTCAATTGCTCTTTTTTATCTTTTCTAAAGATTCACAATACCTTCTTTATTTATAGAAGAATTCTTTCAATCCATGAATATCATCCCATCTTGGTCCCAAAAGACTTGATTTTCTCCTTTGAAAGGGAAAGCCTTGGTTTTTTCTTTACTGGCGATGTTTTACGGATCCATTGCATTAATTGCGCTTTGAAGAAGGATCATAATGATAAATCCAAGTTATCACACCTTCAAACACCTAAGAATGTTCTCAAAGAAAAAATCTCCATTAGGTCTAAACAAATCTTTCCAAATTTGCATTATTTTACATGTTGGAAGTTTTGGCATTCATTTTCTGAGCATAATTTTTGATATCCAAGATCATTAATAAGTTTAAGAAACACTTCCTCCAGACAGGAAAGTTTTCCCATTATTTGATAAGTCGTCATTGTCCGGTTATTCTTGATCAATTCCTCCGTTAGAGCCAAATTTTGGTCCGTCACTACAGAAGTACCTGCCCTTTGTTTATCACTGATATCAAATTCACCAGTCTGGAAGCGTTGAATCCATCATTGTATTGTGCTTCTATCCATGGCTCCATACACAGACTTCAAGTAAATTACAGCGGCTGTCTCCGGACTTAAACAGGAACTCCATCACCGACCGTTGTCGGATTCTTGTGTTTACTTCAGACTGCCTATCTGAAAAATACAAAAATTTATTAATTATGATTGTAGATATGAAGAAAGAAGAATGTTTATCTATATATATATAAAATTGAATGTCTATCTGTCTGTCTGTCTGTCTGTACTCTATAGATTCAAAAACCATACATCCAATCGCCGTGAAATTTTGGGATATTATTAGGTATATCCCCAGGAAGGTTTTTGAAAAATAATTTCTTGGATATCTTGAATATCTTTAGAGTTATTTGTAGATTTAACTCGAAAGCAGTGCCCCCATTGCGACGATGATAACAAGTTTTTTTATCTATAAGTTTTATTATCACTAAGTTTATTATCTAAAAGATTATTTATCAAAAGTAAGATTTTCTACCTATTAATTGCGCACAAGTTAAAGTTAGTGTTTTCATTTATCTACAACATATATATTGGGAGAATAGATAAAATGATGATTTTGTAATGTAGAAAATTAGGAAAGATAAAATTAAGGATGACACTCCAATATATTTGTGACAAGAATAATGATACAATTCCAAGGCAAAGATAGTATTTCTTTAACTTCCAATTACCGAGGGAACCAATTAATATTGATTTTATTCAACTTATCGAGTATTTTTCAAGGGACCGGAAAAAAATGTTCACTAGATAAAACGATGATTTTGTAATGTAGAAAATTAGGAAAGACAAAATTCAGGATGACACGGCAATTTATTTGAGACAAGAATAATGATACAATTCCGAGGCAAAATACTATTCGTTTAACTTCCAATTATCGAGGGAACCAATTAATATTGATTTTATTCAACTTATCGAGTATTTTTCAAGGGACCGGAAAAAATGTTCACTTTATCGAGATATTCAAATAATCAAAATATATCTATTATTTTTTTTAAATAAGTTTATAGAGAATTGTTTTAACAAATGTTCGTTAGACAAACCTTTACTTGGGTAAAACCCGGGCGAAGCCGGGTACATCCGCTAGTTTAATCATAAAACTTTATTTTAGATTGATAAATTATTCAAATATTTTTCTATGGGTCATTTTGTATGCATTACCTATTGACCGACCCTTGTACATATTATAATTCCCATATTTATAAAAGAAAGTCTTAAAATACTTTACAAATTCTTATATAATAAGACTAACACTAAATAAATATATAGTATGTGACATTTCAGTAACAATGCTGTTCCCTAAATGTCACACACAATTTATTTGGATTTGGTCTAATTACCTTGTGTTTCTAATATACAAATATATAATACAAATTTTACCTTATGTAAATAAGTTTTCAGCTGTCCAGCATTCCTGAGACATAGGATACAAACAGCTATCCTGATTGGACTCACCCACCTCAATCCTACATCTATGACCAGACTAAGCATGGAACTTCCTGGTTAACTGGTTCAACTCAGTAATCAAAACAGGACACGAGTAAAAGTACTTAGCACTATTCCATACTGGTGACTTCCCAGGTAGTTGGTGTTCTGTGTTTCCTATATTATAAAGATATCTCTCTCTCTCTGAATAAGTTTTTATTTATTTCATCTCAGTTTACAGATGTTACATTCGAGTCACCTTGTCATGGCTATTTACATTTGGTGAGTTGGTGGAGTAGAGGTGGTCCCCCAGACCTTGCAGGAGGACAACTATAAACTACATCACAGAAACATACATACAAAAATTTCCATGGCTGGAATCGAACCAGGGCTTCCTGGATGAGAGCTGAAAATTTCCCTGGTGGGGAATCGAACCCCGGTCACCTGCGTGACAGGCGGGAATACTAACCACTATACTACCAAGAAGTCGAAAAAAAAAAAGAAAAGTAAACACATCCAGAATCAAACTGAATCATACATACTGGATATCATGTATTCCTTAAAGATTTCATAACACCAGATGAAGTAATAGATGTCTGAAAGTAATCAGAAGCCACGACATCTAGAAAGACCAGATGTTCCATTCATACCATGATGACAACAATTTATAACAGCACAAGTACATAGAGAACTTGTACTACCATTGGAGTTATTTTTATAAAAATAAATTGCTATGCCATCTTCCTATTTGTTGTTTCCCTCATTTTTCTACCTGACAATATTGATGCTTTTTTAAAACTAAAATATGTGTCCATTAGGGGAAGAGAGTTGTCTTCTTACTTTTCAGTAACACACACACACAAGCCTTTATTAAGACATTCCATCTAATACAGACTCCTGTTAGAAATGGATCTAAAAAGAAAAATGAGAAGTAAGGGAAGAAATTGAATCCTCGCTCAGAAAAAAGAAAAAGAAAGAATATCTATGTACAAAAGTTGAGACTATATACATCGTTTTTCATGCATAGAACATAGTGAAGAAGTAGATAATTTTCAGTAATAGCAAAAAGGCAAATTTGATAATAGAAACTGTCCTTTATAGAGAGACGTGTCCTCTAGAGTGTCCTCTTATGGAGGTTCTACTGTATTTGATGTTTTGGTAACAAAATATCTTTACAGATCAAAGTAAAAAAAAGTATTTTCATTCATGATAACAATGCGGTTATTGAAACATCACATATGAATAATTCACACACACAAAGCCTTTATTAAGACATTAGTCTTATACAGATTCTCTGTACAAGGTGCAATAACAGGAAAAGAGCAGCACAGGAAACCAGTAGTTCCGCAACTATATACAATTATTAGTAACTAGACGAATGGCCCGGGCAACGCCCGGGGTTTACCCGAGTGCGAATATATTCTAAAAACGTTGACTTGGGTGGTCGCTATTAACAGGGTGGTCTGTATAGACAGGTGGATGTATCACACAGCTGATAACAGGGTTGTCTAGAGTGGTCGCTATAGACAGGGTGGTCTGTATAGACAGGTTTATGAGAGAGGCACAAACTTACAGGTTGTTGACGCCGCAACCAGAGAGAGTGTTTTTTGTTGCATCATGCTGTGACTCACACGCCGACCCAAGGTCAACAGGGGTGGAGCAGCAAGCTTAGGCCTATCACCGTCTGGCGGCGCTGCTTGCGAGTTATATCTACAATTCTGCAAATAACTCTAAGGATATTCAAGATATTCAAGAAATTATTTTTCGAAAACCTTTCGGGGATATACCTAATAATATCCCAGAATTTCATGGCAATTGGATGTATGGTTTTTGAATAACAGGGTTGTCTAGAGGGGGGCAGGGAGGACACGTGTTCCCTTGCAGCCAATGAGCGCGCATTCTATCCGTGAGCTTCAGACAAACAGACAGAATAAGGCAAATATATAAGTAGATAACACGATGGCCCCTCGATGTTTCGTCATCATTCTGAGGTGTAAGAACAATAGCTTCCAAGTTCTCTTTTCTCCCTCTTTACACCTACTGCCTTGTAAAAATTATATAGGGCCTGAGCAACTAGTCTGCTTGTTTGGGCACTGGTTAACATCATTTGAATTGACCTAAGTTGGCTGGTGTCTACCATTGAAAAGAATGCATATGAATAATTCATTTGATTACAGTAGAATTTCCATGAGAGATCACTCCCACTAGAGGGCATCTCTCTCTCTGCAAAGGATAGTTTTTATCACCAAAAGGACCATTTTTACTTAATCAACAACTCTCCAGTAAAAGGACAACAATTATTTTTGTCTGCTTATGGTAACAATAGTGTTTCCAAAACGTCACACATACTTTTTTTTTTTTTGCTTATCCCTAGTACATGTGGTACAGGCCATGATAATCATGGTGGGTAGTTAGCGACTGCTTTTACTGTAAGTGCACCACATGTCTACACATGTGAAAAGCAGTTCGACTTTGCACTTACTAATGCCAGAGCCCCGTTTGGTTACTTGCACTCGCTGGTGGGGTTGGACTTTTGCAAGAATCGGGGGCCATTGAAGCATTTTTTTTTCTTTAAACAGAAAAAAAGTGTCCAATGCGGGAATCGAACCCGGGTCCTAGTGGTCGAAAACCAAACGGTTTAACCAGCCTTCCACCGACCCCCTACACATACTATTTATTTGGATTTGGTCTTGTTATACCTTGTGTAGGACACTTCTCTCTAAAAGACACTTTGGCACTGCAACTAGGTGTTGTCTTTTACAGAAAGTTTCTTCTGCTGTAACACTTTATTTGTACAATAGCCGGACAAGCACCGGTTCTGTCCTCCCAAGAGAACAAAAGTCTTTGATTTCCAGACTTAAGTCTGGTCATCTACGGACAATGACTTTCCAGAATGGTTGCAAGGTTTTCCCACTGTGTACTAAGTGCAATTCTCAGCCTGCAACCCCAAGACATATTATTGACTGTATTGACTCAGCCATTGATGAGCTCTACTCTTCCCCGGCAGACACCATCAAAAATCTCAAGCTTTACAAGCTTGATACCTTAGTGTGATTGAGTGGAGATAAGAAAGAAGAAGATGAAGATTTGTACAATACCATTATACCATTATGATTCATATATCTACATTCCAAATGGGGAGAAATTTCAACTATTTCTTGACATGTATTATTCCTTTAGAAATAAAATCATTTTCTACTGCCCTTGCTGCAATGAAAAATTAATGGGAGGGCCTGGCTCATCAGTGATGAACCCTCCTAGTGGTTTCCCCAATTTAATCTACCGTTGTAATATTGCATTGGGCTGTTTTATAGATCAAAAATAGTTTAAATTTATTATAACAGAGAGAGAGAGAGAGATGGTGCATTAATGTATAATATTCCTAATTGTACCTCATCATCTGAATGATGTATTGTTCAAAATTGAGATCACAGCAAAAGTGTTATTATTTTTGCATACATAGTAGAATATACTCCATGATAAGACACTCCCACTAGAGGACACCTCTTCACAAGGACAGTTTTCATCACCAAAATTATCATTTTTATTAATTAGCAACTCATTCGTAAGAAGACTGTTGGATCCTATAGTTAATAATTTCCTTAAATTCAATTTTATATATGAAAATTAAGCCAAAATCTTCTAAATTCAATTGTACAATATAAATCTTTAATATGTAAATTTTAAAGCAATCAACATGTATGTAAATTTCCAGTTTGGTTAATTAATAGTTTTTCTTTTCTCTCTCTCTCTATCACTAGTATCAAAATCTAAATCAAATTCATGTATTCTAAAATCATGTGGTAGCTACTCCTAACTCTAAAACCCAAAGACAATAAAATAATTCAAGACAAGTGGCAAAGTGCTTCTTAGTATCATTTACTGAACATTCAAGCCACAAACAGTATGGTCCCTTGAGCCGGATTCTTTAAAAAATTAAGGTAAGCCATTTGAAAACTTAAAATTCTTAAAATAAAGTAATGCCTAAATCAGAAGTTAAAATTCGGCACAAATTCAACTTTATTATTCAGGAAATAAAGGATCTGGAATCAAAGAATAAAGCTATTGTAGAATCCAAAAACATACATAGATTAAAGCTATTCCAACAAGAAGTTAATGAAAGGAAAATTAGCCTAAATCAAGTTATCAACACATTATTAGAATCAGAGTTAGATGAGACACAATATGACGATTATTCAAAAGCTAAAGATGATATTTTTAATATGTTGGTGTCTATTGAAGAAGCTTTATCTTTGATTGAAACCAAAGAAAATACTCATAGTGATAAACAACTGCCCGAATCCAATGTTAATTTACCTAAGATAAATTTACCCATTTTCAATGGTGATTCAGCCAATTGGCTTAGTTTTAGAGAAATATTTAACTCCACCATTAATTCAAATCAAACACTAACGGATATACAAAAATTTCAATATCTAAATGCATCTGTTAAGGGTCCTGCGGAAAAGTTGATTCGGGGTTTTCCCATTTCTGACAAAAACTACCAGCAAGCATGGGATACCTTATGCAATAGATTTAATAACAGAAGAGAATTGGCTTTTTCACAAATCAACAAAATATTCTCCATAAGGCCATTAAAATATATTTCAACTGGTTCTCTCTATGAAATCCTTGATGTTTGCAATGAAGGCATTAGAAATCTCTCAGTGCTAGGACTTGAGAAAAACACATTAACAGATCTAATCCTGATCAATTTTTTTGAAAAAAGAATCGGTGAAGCCCTCAGGAAAGAATGGGAATTAACCCTTCAAAATGAAGAATATCCAACATTTGAAAACTTTGTGAATTTTTTAGAAAAACATGCTAGAAGCCTGCAAGGTATGAGAATTCCTTTGTTCCAGGAACAAAAACCTCTAGCAAAAATATGATGGCTCACGGCCTTTATGTCAACAAAGGTCAAAATTGTATTTTATGTCATCAAATTCATAAACTAAATGACTGCCATAGATTCATAAATCTTCCCTTGCCTAAAAAATGGGAATTAGTTAAAAAAAACATAAACTTTGTCAAAATTGCCTTAGAGCAAATCATGAGATATCCAAATGTCTCATCACATCAAGATGTAAAAACTGCAAGCAGAACCATCATACTCTTCTGCATGGATACAACTCTGAACCATCCATTCCACAACCAACAACCTCTCAAGAGATGTTGATTTCAACAAATACCATCTGTAATGTGATGCCTTTGGAAACGGAAACAAATATTCTACTGTCAACAGCCCTTATTAAGGTCAAGGCGAAGGATGGCTCATTTGTGCTATGTAGAGCATTAGTGCCTAATTTCAGAACAATGTTGCCACAAGTTGGGACTTGAAAAAATGAAAAATTCTTATACACTAAAAGGTGTAGGTGACATTGTTGTCAACAGGACAACATCGCAGGTTGAAATAGAGTTCACCCCACATCATAATGATCAATTATTTTCTGCCAGAGCATTTGTGGTTGGGAGGGTAACTGCAGACC